CCGGCCACAGCACGCCAGCCGTGGCAGCCATTGGAGGGTGAACCAACGGCAAAGGAAGACCTTTCTCTCTCTCTCTCTCTCTCTCTCACTGTCCACTATGTCTGTCATAAAAAATAAATAAACAATTGCAAAAGGCAGACTTACCACAGTATAGTTGCTAGTTTAAAACCACCGCATCGTCCTTTCATTTTGGTTGTTTACTATCCACTGACTGTTTTTAGCTATACTGTGATCTTTAGTTGACAACAGAGATGTCTCTCTGCTGTTTGCAAGAGCTGTTGTCCAACTAAAAGATGTACGAGTTCACACATTTGATCTCTAAAACATTAGACAAAAGTAAAAACTCACACTGACCAGTTTCAACCATGCATTTAAAACTGCCATCAGAAATGTGTTTGGAATATTGCACATGTGTTTTCTTACAGAGCTTTAAGAATGCTACAGATGACTTTTTTCATGGTGAACTGAATTAGAAACTCAATTGAAATATAAATAAATATGATCATCCACTTTTACAAATGCTAAGATAGAATTCTATCCCAACTCATTCAACATTAATGTTGTGATACAAAGAACCTGGGTCCCATCTGCTCCAAGTAGGTGGCCCTCAAGAGTCATTAAAATTATCTTTTTAAAATCACAACTCATTGAAAAAAAAATCACAACTCAACAAGAGCAGTCCATTTTGTGCATCCAGAAATTATTGTCCAAATGCCCATCTGCATTTCCTTTTAAGAAAAGTAGTTCAACAAAGACAGTGCTGGCTCCTTTGGGAAATCATTCTCATCTTCGGTGTACATATGCTGTGCTACAGTTAATCAGGCAAACTCTATTGATGTTCCTGGCACTGGGGCGCGATTGAATATTTAACAAACAAATGTTTCCAAGCCCAGAAGACAAACAGTTCAAAAGATCTGAGGTTTTTTAAAAAATATATTAAGTTAAATCAAAAGCATTTTGTATTTGTTATTCTAAGGAACAGAAGAACAAATGATTAGAATGTGAAAATGGCATGACAACTTCTTTACTATTCTGACAAATTATATTCAATTGCTGTACAAATTTTCAGTAGCTAAATGATAAACCAAAGGGAAAAAGTAATTTTCCAATCAAATCAGAGAAAGCTACCTTCTCATGTATGTAACAATGTATATGTTATATAAAAAAAAATTAGTCCAAAAATGTGTTAAACAAATTAATTAAATATGTTACATCAATAAACATCATCTATACTTTACATTGAAGCAAAAGTTTATAAACAAAATAGGATTGTTTCAGTGTACCACTCTTCAGTAAATATTGCACTGTTTTTTATTCTCGTTATTTTCTCTGTAAATGAGGGACTGACCCAACTCAAGTAGAAATATTAGTTAAAATTAGTAGTAGTGTTCTCAGTTGTGCCAGTTCTCTTTTTAGCCTCTGAGAAACCAGAATTGGTGATCCTAGGATAGCCACAGTAAACACACCTTTGGTACCCTGTCCAGATTTTCCAGTTATTTGTCTCATCATGTATTTAAAAGAGCATGGGAACATAATATCAAGGAAATACAGTGCCACTAGGAGAATACTCACCAAGGATACCCAACTAAATCCATTCACTTCTTGGCTGATCTCCCAACCAGGATATATCTTCAGAAAAATGTGAAATGAGTTCCCTTATACGTACTTGTGAATATTTCCACATATATAATCACTGCTCATGCCAAGCAGATGTTTTACAGCTGAGCAGACTACTAGAAGGAAGAAAAGGCTGCATTCTGATCCTACCCTGCCACCCTGGACTTAGAAAAATCGTCTTATTTCCGAATGTGTTGATCTTTATGGTATTTTCTAATTGATGTAGTTAACATCTGATTTTCCACGTAATCTTCTAAATTGCCATAATAATGCATCTGAAACTTTTTAAGTGGTCTTCACTACCTTTTATATTATGATAGTATTACTTTTGACACTGTCTTCCTTCTGCCATTAGATTTTATGTCTTTTGAATGTCCTCTTACCTGTTTGTCTTCACTAGTGCCTAGAAAATGCTTTAGACACAGCAGGAGTTTAACAAATGTTTACTGAACTAATGTCGATGACAAAGGCTCCTAAGTTCTGCCTAGGTAATGTACTATAAACACACACATTTTTTTTTTCTATTATGAAAATACAATAAAATTAATGAGTGGAGGATCTTTTTTTTTTTTTTTTTTTTGACAGGTAGAGTTATAGACCATGAGAGAGAGAGAGACAGAGAGAAAGGTCTTCCTTCCATTGGTTCACTCCCCAAATGGCTGCCATGGCTGGTACTGTGCCGATCTGAAGCCAGAAGCCAGGTGCTTCTTCCTGGTCTCCCATGCAGGTGCAGGGCCCCAAAGACTTGGGCCATCCTGAGTGGAGGATCCTTTGATCACAGAAATCCCACTGCCAATTGTATGTAACAATTATAGGAATTGAAACTAGAATTTTTTTTAAACTTGAAATAGAGATAGACCTGTCTTAACAGCCAGACCAACTTATAAAACACCTATTCAGAGGCCAGTACCGTGGCTCACTTGGTTAATCCTCTGCCTCCAGCGCCGTCATCCCATATGGGTGCCGGTTCTAGTCCCCGCTGCTCCTCTTCCAGTCCAGCTCTCTGCTGTGGCTAGGGAAAGCAGTAAAAGATGGCCCAAGTACTTGGGCCCCTGCACTCATGTGGGAGACCCAGAAGAAGCTCCTGGCTCCTGGCTTCGGATTGGCATAGCTCCAGCCGTTGCGGCCATTTGGGGAGTGAACCAAAGGAAGGAAGACCTTTCTTTCTGTCTCTCCCTATGTCTAACTCTACCTCTCAAATAAGTAAATAAAATCTTTCAAAAAAAAAGAAAACACCTATTCTAGTTACCCTAGTACTTTCCTAGAACTAAGGCTTGGGAAATGTTTGCTATATTTTTCGTTTGCATTCTCTAAAAAGACTAAATCCTGATTCTTTCTTTTTTTTATCTCTGCAGGGATAAAAAAGAAATATCACCACTCTATTCCATAGTAACTTAGAACTCCATGCATTTTTCATGTATTTTTGGCACTCTTGCTAGTTATTTCTTGAAGGCAGGGTTCCCAACTGTCTGAACACTGTGAGGGTGCCCACAGAAGTGGGGAAGTTCAGACTCACTGACTGAGCAGTGAGTGGCTTCGAGCAGAAAGGGTTGCCCAGTGCCCACCATTGAGCCCATGCAAGAACTTTTGCAAGGGCAGAAATATCCTCACTCTCTTTATTTTTGCCTGGGAACTTTGTATAATTAAGTTTCTCCCTCATTGATTTAACATATATATGCATAGTTTTTCCATAATATGTATTTTCCATGGTCTTTTTGAAAACTGCTTCCCATATACATGGATTTCAAAACTTTTTACTTTGACTATGACCTTGTCTAAATAAGATCAGAGTTGGAGAACTCAAAAGGCTTTGGGTTCATGCTGCTCGTGCTGGAGACCTGGATGGAGATCCAGGCCCCTGGATTCAACCTGACCCAGTCCAGCTGTTTGGGGCATTTGAAGAATAAACCAGGAGATGGAAGGTTCTCTCTTTCTTTCTCTCTCTCTCTGTGTGTGTGTGTGTGTGTGTGTGTGTGTGACTGACTTTCAAATAAATAAGTAAATTACAACTTTAGGAAGGAAGAGAGGCAGAATAATGATAGATTGCTTTTAATTGAAAACTGACAAATCTTTTCCTGTCCCATGCCCAATCTAGAGCAGACTCTTTCACCTTTGACAATGAGGGTGCTTTAAAAGTTTGTGGAAAAATAAAATCAACAGATGTTTGATTTAGTGCAAAAAAATATGAAATCCATGCATAGTTTTTTCATAAGATGCATTTTCATGAATTTTTTGATGACCTCTTGTACTTCATGTCTTCTGAAGAGCCAATTTCTTTATGTTGAGTGTATAACATGGCCAAACATTCAAGAAGAAATTGAACTGTGCAGTTGATCACCTAAATGTTCAGAAATGCCAAACTTTGGAAATAACTTCGTGTTTGCTTCTGTGTGTTTATAAACAGAGGAGGAGAGAAATAGCTTACCAAATGTAAAATACTAAATAATGTCTTTAAAGTCTCTGCTTTTATTAGTTTTCTTATTCACTGTTCTGAGTTCCTCCTTAGTTCTCATTTATTTATTATATATTTAAATAAATAAGTCAGATTGAAAAATCTTGAAGGACAAATGTTGTTATCACAGTTATTTCTTTAAATGTATATTTTATAGCATTAAAAAATCTACCAGATGAATTAGCACTGTACTTCTCATTGCCGTTGTTTACTTGCATGACCACTAATTTTATGTAAATAATTCTTCCTTTCTCAGATTTTGAAAATTTAAACTTTGGCTTTTCTATGGGTAATTGTAGAACTAAACCCTTTAAAATTTTTCAAGCTTTGACTTTCAGCTTCCCAAGCTATTATATTGAATAAAGCTCTTGTTTTGAAGAAAAATATAGTTTATATACTTTAAATTTTCATGTAAGAAAAATACTTTATAATACATGATCCAATATCTTTTACTCTTGAAAAAAATAAAACTACCCTACAGTAAGGCAGAAATGCTGTCCTACACCCACTTGTATTTAGAGTAACATTTTCTTGCTTAAATAGACTGAATACTGTAAGTTCTGGTTATTTCTTTTCCATGGAGTTAGCTTACCAGGAAATCAAAGTGTACAATTGTTAGTTGTTTTAAACAATTTCCTATGGATACTTTTTCAGATATTCTTTGGAATAAGTGACTATTTCTTAAATGTTTAAAAAAGTACCTTATCTAAACTGAATACCACACAACAGAGCATCTTAGCACAAGATATAGACCTATGTGCTTTGCTATTTTTAGTGAGATTTTTTTCTGTAAAGATTATAGTAAAAAATCGTATTTATATTGTTGTCTTTATTCATAGACTTTTATATGAACTCATTAAGAACTTATGTTCAATAATTTAATACCACAGATTTCTGCTCACAATTATTTTCACTTTGTTCCCCAATGTAGGGTTACAACAGTCTCCAGGGTTCTCCAGGCTCCACAACTAGTCCTTCAGGATTAACTCAGTTAACATTAGAGAACACGCTGGGCAGCTCTGCAGGGTGGACAAGGAGAGGATGTCCAGAAGCATTGGGAAGCCAGGATTCCTTGGCAAAGCAAGAAGATAGAAATGACCTGCAAAGGAGTCTGTTGCCCGCACCTTGTCTTTCTCCCCCTAGAGGAAGCTGTGGATCTTCTCAGAAAACTCCAGACCCCCTTATCAAAGCAGAGGCTCTACCAGCCCGTCAAGTGCCAACTTCACTAAACAAAACCTCCCTGAAGGAAATCACAGCTGAAAAGTTGAAACCAATCCCTGAAGTGTCTGTAAGTGCCTCTGCCGTGCTTGACATATGCAAGTGGTGCCTCCTGTTGTGTCTGTTCTGTTCCACTTTGCACCCACTTTTAGCAGTATCTATTTTTCATCATTTGGGTGATTAGTAATGTATTTTCTTTCCTATTCAAATGTGTTTTAGTTCAGTAACAGCAGCAGTTAAAGAGTATATTGCACATCCTAATGATAATAGAATGCCTTATGTTTTTAATGAGAAAGATAATTATGTGGTTTTCATCGTAACGGTTATTTTTTTTATTTTCCAGTTACTTCCCATGATTTTAGTTAGCACTGAATGCAAATTATAAATGAGGATCTTATTTTTGTGCCAAAAGCTTGCCAGTAAAATTGACAGATTTTCAATAACAGTCTACATTAGGAGCCATAAAAACATCATTATTCTGTTCACTTTCTGGTCTCTCTGCAGCAGTTCCCCAAATAATAGATGATATGAGTGAAGGTTAACAGGAAAGCAGTGTCATCAAATAAATCCCTAGGCTGGTAGGGTGGCTATATTCATGTCCATCAGATTGATTTTTTCCTCCTCCCTGTGTGTTAGTGCTTTGCTTCCTTCAGTTCTCTGTAAGCTGAACTGAAAAAGTGTGGAACAAATGACATGGATGTTCCTTTTTGTTAACGTTAAAGGTTTTCTTTATATGTCATGTCCTATGTGTCTCATATGTGTTACAAAGTGAAGTTTCAGTTCAATTACATTCTACGAAATTTGGAGTGGATTCATTGCTACCGAGCACAGGTGGTGGACATACACATCATTGTCATCAACAAAGCAGAAGGAGCTAATATTTCTTGAATAATTACCATATGTCAGTCAGTCAGTGTACCAAGACCTTTTCCTTAAAGTATTTCCTTTAATCCTCACCAAGACACCAAGAGCGGCTGTCATCATCCTCATTTTCAGAAGAGGAAACTAAAGTTTAGATTGGTTACACAGTTTGTTCAAGAGCAACAGCTAGTTAGGTGAGCTGGTTAGTTAATTGAACCTAGATTTTCTGATTCTGGAACTACTACCCAAAACTGTTATGCTGTGCTGCAGAACAGGTGTTAAGTTGGAGAAATGTGAGAACCTCTCTACAAGAAATAGCCAGAAATAAAACTAAAATGTAGAAATTTTTATATCACATTTATGTGCATGTGTGTGTGTACAGGAGAAAATAGTATAGCACTTAACCTAATGAGAATGGATTTGTTTTATGGTAATTTAAGGATGAAAATTGTCAGTAATATTTTTGCATGTAGAAATACTTTTAAAACAAATGTTCTGGTTCTTCCTTATATTTTTCCCCTTTGGCTGTGCTAACAAATTTGAAAGTAGCTAATAAGAGGTTTATTCTACCAGTCTGCTTCCCTCAACTGTAGCCAATACTGGGTTGTCAGAAAGAGAAACAAACTAACATCCCGTTAAGTTTCCCCCCTAATTTCTTTTTTTAATTTATTATTTAAGATTTAAGACTTATTAATTACTTGAGAGAGAGCGAGAAAGAGAGAATCTTCCATCTACTGGTTCACTCCCCAAATGACCACAACAACCAGAGCTCGGACAGACCAAAACAAGAAGTCAGGTACTCCATCCTAATCTACTAGGACCCAAGTATTTGGACCATTATCTACAACCTTCCAAGGTGAATTAGCTGTAAGCCAATTTGGAAGTAGAATAGCCAGGACTCCAGTTGGCACTCTGATGTGTGATGTCTGCATCACAAGGTCCACCAGAATGCCAGCACCACCCTCTAATGTATTTGCCACCACCTTCTAGGAAGTGGAATCTGGCATCCAAAAAACTGCTTATTTTTAGTCTCTCCATTTTTCTCTACAAATTAAAGCAGACTACAAAATTAAGCTTGGAAACTTCAGACACACATGAACTTGAAGTACCTCGCCACACAGCAGAACACATTGCCAAAAAAAAGGAGTACTTTTTACTACTAGGGAATAATAAAAGAAGTTAAGAGACCAGTGTTGGAAAGAAGAGCAAGACATTTGCTGTCACCCATTATCTTCATTTTAGAGGCTTTTAGGATAAGACCCAGAAACCAGTTGAATTTTTTCAAAAGACTTTTTTTAGTACTGCTCACTGCAGATATTTTAATACTCCTTAGAGGTAGACATGTCTCTTCTTCCCCACAAGATCCCTATAAGAAACTACTATTCCAGTTTACAGCTAAAGAAACTTGGAGCAGTAGCTTCAAAGGGATGAACAGGAGCAAGAAGCTTTATTTTTGGTTGAAGGTGCAAAGACATTGCTTCCCCCTTGTGCAAAGGAATTTGAACCTCAATGTCAGAATTCACCCTAACACAATTTTATCTCATAACAACCTGCATGATCACTGCAATCTGCAGCTCACATTTGCAAATCTGATCATCTTTTAATATGATATAAAATTGTTGAAGACATAGGCATTCTTGCTTCATTTCAAAGTGAATTTGTAATAAAAATGAAGTCTTCTTCCAGAGCCACCTTTAAAAAAGAAGTTCATGGGGCCAGCATTGTGACATAGCAGCTAAAGCCACTGCCAGCAACACCAGTATCCCACATAGGTACTGGTTTGTGTTCTGGCTGCTCTACTTCCAATCCACCTCCCCACTAATGGTCTGGGGAAAGCAGTGGAAGATGGCCCAAGTGTTTGGGCTGCTGCACCCCATGTGGGAAACCAGGATGGAGCTCCTCACTTTGGTCTGGCTCACCTCTGGCCATTGTGACAATCTGTGGAGTAAATCAGCAGATGGAAAATCTCTCTCTCTCTCTCTCTCTATCCCCCTTTCCCTCTCTGTTCATTCCCACAGTGAACAGGTGCTAGTAACCAGTGTCTTCTTCACTTGGTGTTTACAGCTAAAAATCTGAAAGTGAGTCACCCTGAAGGTCATTGTACACCTACTTGCTCCACAAAGGGATTTTTCCCCAGATCCTGGAGACCCATAGGAATGACGTGTTTGTAAATAAATATTTCATTGAAATTGATTTCAGACAAAAAGGCTTTATCCTTTCAAAGTACACAATTCAATCTGCTATTTATTTATTTAATTGAAAGGCAGAGATACACGTAGATCTCCCATCTGATAGTTTACTCCCTAAATGCCTGCAGCAGCCGAGGCTGGATTAGGCCAAAGCCAGTCTTTCATGTGAGTAGAAGGGACCCAAATACTTGAACCGTCACCTGCTGCTTCCCAAGATGCACATTAGCAGAAAGCTGGAGTCAGGATTAGAGGCAGGGCCTGGACCCAGGCACTGAGGTAAGATGCAGATGTCCCTTGCAGCATCTCAATCACTGTGCCAACTGCCTACCCCGTTGGTTTTCAGCATATTCACAGAACTGTGCAACTCTTGCCACTATTTAATTTTAAATCATTTTCATCTCCCCAAAAGAAATCCAGTACCCGCTAGCAGCCACTCTATTACCTCTGCCCCAAAGCCCCTTGGAGCTATTAATCTACTCTGTGTCTTTGTGATTTTGCCTAATTTGGATATTTCTTATCAATGAAATCATACAATGCATGGCCTTTTGTGTCTGATTTCTTTCACTTAGTAGTTTTTCAAGGCCCAGCCATATCATAATACTTCATTCCTTTTTATGCCTGAATCCATTGTATGGATTGTCGATATTTGTTCATCAGTTGATGGACATTTTGATTGGATTGTTTCTTTTTTTTTTTTTTTTTGGCTGTTATGAATGTTGCTACTGTGAAACATTTGTGTACAAGTTTTCATATGGACATATATTTTTAATAATCCAGTGTATAAACCTAGGAATGGAATTGCTAAGTCGTGTGGAACTCTGTGATTAATTTTTGAGGAACTGCAAAACTTTTCCAAAGGGGTAACACCATTTTGCATTCCCACCTGCAGTGAATGAGGATTCCAGTTTTTCTGCATCCTAGTCAGCATTTCTTCATGTCTGCCTTTTGCATATAAGCCATCTTAATGGATAGGAAGTGGCTTTCCACTATGATTCTGATTTGCATTTCTCAGTGACTAATGATGTTATCTTTTTGTGTTATTATTCATTTGAGGAGCAGAGAGAGAGAAAGAGGAAGGGAGATCCTATTCACTGGTTCACTTCCCAGATGACCATATCAATGGGGGAAGTAGGGGTGGCAAAGCCAGGCACCAAGAACTCAATCCAAGTCTCCCAAATATGTGGCAGGAACTCAACTACTTGAGCCATCACCACTGCCTCCCTCCAGGAAGCTAGTCTCAGGAGCAAGAGGCAGGCATCAAACCCAAGTACTCTGATATGGGATTCAGGCATCCCATATTCCAGCAGTGGCGGAACTTCCAGGTCAAATGCCTGGCCAGATATTATCTGTAAAAAAATTTTTTTTCATTTATTTAATTGAAAGCCAAAGTTATACAGAGATATGTTCCTAAATTTGTGTTTATGCATGAAGTTTGTATACCTTAAATAAAACTTTCTAGCTTATGAAAAAAAGTTACAGAGACAGAAAGACAGAGGAAGAGAGATCTTTAATCCACTGGTTCACTCCCCAAGTGGCTGTGACAACCAGGACTGAGCCAAACCGAAGCCAGAAGCCAGGAGCCTCATCCAGGACTCTCATGTGCATCGCAGGGGCCCAGCACTTGGGCCATCCTCTGCTGCTTTCCCAGGCCATCAGCAGGGAACTGGATCAGAAATGGAGCAGCCAGGATGCTGACGGGTACCCACCAGAGATGCTGGCAGTGCAGGAGGCAGCTTCACCCACATGTACTTATTAACTGTACATCTCTTTTGGGAAAATTCCTATTCAGATCCTTTACCTGTATTTAAATTGTTATAGTTCATTTTTAAGAATTCTTAGTATATTTTGGGTGAAAGTCCCTTATCAACTATATGATTTGCAGACATTTTCTTCCATTCTGTGGATTGTCTTTTCATTTCTTTATTGTGTCCTCTGAGCACAGAAGCTTTCATTTGATGAAGTCTAGTTTATCTGTTTTTTCTTCTGTTGCTTGTGCATTTGTTGTTATATCTCAGAAGCC